CAGGTTAAAAAAAGTTTTAATTACATGAAATTATGATGACTTACAGAAAGACAACTGCAGAAATTCTTGGGTTGATAAGCTCTCATTAATGGCATGATTTTTAAGTAATCTGCTTTTCTTTTGAAGCAGATATTTTTCTGTGCCTATTAAATGACGAGTTTCATGAAATTATTTAATTGCATATCATTAGCAGTGAATTATCACATGACTGTTGTTTGTTTTCTTTAGATAATTCACAAATCAATAAATGTGTGGTGAGTAGGGACAAATTTACAATTCCTGTTTCAGATAAAGTAAACAGTGATAAGCGTTAAATACAATTAAATAATATTAAATTTTATGATGTAGCATTTTGAAGTGGAACAATCTCTGTCCATTTTTAAACTGTTTTTTCCAATTTAAAAAAAAAAGTGAAATGTGAGTTTGAGATGCATTTAGATTAGTAGAACTATTTCATGGCTTCACAGTGCTGCTGAAATACAGTATTAGCATAACTGCTATAACTCATCCATGTAGGATTAAGTTCTGCAGTGATTAAACAGCTTCCTATGATCAGACATGCTCGCTGAATAGTCATTTCACTATAGAAGTGGGTATTGCAACCCACACTGTCCAGTAACAGTTAGTTTTTCTAGTATTGAAGCTAGTTTGTTGAGGCTTCCTTAAACTTCCATTAATTTAATATGAAATCCCAACTTCAGGTGAAGTTGAGAGTGTGTTATTCAAGGACATATAATCCTAAATAGACATATTATACTGTTTGTTTTCAGAAAGCAAAGATCATAAGCTTGTCAGGTTTTTCTGTTAAAATTGTTCTGAATATATTTCACTGACTTGGATCACTTGAAAATAATTTACTGACATTTGTGCGTTTCTTTATTAGGCATTTCAGTAAGATTTTTTAGGAAGTATTTAATGTGTTTTCTTTTAGAGAAATTTGCTATTTCTATATTAAAAATATAAATAATGTGATATTCAGGTTTTGAATAAATAATCTTCTGTTTTGTCACAATCTCTACATGCAAATCTTTTTGGTGAGAGGAGAGTTTGTGTTGAAATGACTTGCAGTATGAAATGTGGAAAAATTAAGGGACACTTTCTCCTTTAGCTATTGCATTTCCTAGACCGTTCTTATGTGAGCAGGCTTTCCCTCTTAAGTTCTTTGTTCTTCTAAAAAATTCCTTATTACAGCTTCCCCCCCCCCCCCAATACCATTTGGAATGAACAGGTTAGGTAATTTCAATGCACACTCCATCAAGAGTTTTTCCTGAATTTCATTTTCAAGTTGGACAAAAGTGTTGTTAAATCATACATGTATTCAAATAGCAAAAGCTGACTATCTCAGTAACCTTTGGTAAGTGGGGGAACCCACACAGGTTGTTTTTTTTTCTACCAGTAAGCTTTAGGACACAAATAATATAGAAGCTGAGAGAGTTGACTTCCAGATCTCCGAGTAGTCCTTCAGAAGAATATTGTTTGTTAAGCATCCCAGTGACAGGGTTTATGTACCACATGAGGAAAATCCAGACTCCTTATCTCCCCCCGTAATCTAAGTTGATGGTACTTGTCATTTGAAATGTATATACACCAGCTAAACCTGCTTTTTTTCCTTTGATGAATACAGCACTGCTGCAGATATGGCGTAAAACTTGTTTTTTATTGCAGATGTACACAATGAATCATAATCTCCAGCATGCTCAGATCCTGCCTATGGATCTTGTTGCTAGATCATGCTCAGCAACTAAAACACTGAAAATATTTTATTTATGGTTGGGACCTACAGAGCGTGTCTCATATTTGTAGTTACATTTAGCTGCAAAACAATGTACTTGATTACAAATACATCTGGTATTTGAAGTATTCTCTCTATTGAGGTCATTCTGAGCACAACTACATAAAGTAGATTAGTGCTTGTATTGATGTTCTTTATCCCCTTGCTCCATTTTCTTAGCCATTTGGATAGTTTGGAGAATGTGATTTTGTAAGGCAAAAAAGTTCAAAATTTATGGTGAAAGTACGTAAGGAGACTGTACCATTTAGCCATTGGGATGTATGTGCTTCAGAGCTGAGAATTGTTTTAAATCAGATTTGGAGTGATTCAGAATTCTTTTGGAAATATGAAGAATCCATCTAGAAATGAACTTTTAATTCCATGTATTAGCAGAGTCAAGTTATGATGACCTTGGATATTCTCTAAACCAATTTGTAATGATTAATGTCAGAGCAGTTCTTTTTCAGATGAAAAGTAATGGCCTATGATGTATCGGAGGCCACATTAGATCATTCTGATGATTCCTTCTGGTCAAAGTCTTTGAAATTGGAAAAAACTGACTTGGAGTTAAGCTTAGGAATAAAAAAGAGGGATAAGACGTGCTCAATAAAATCTCAATATAGTATAATGGAACATAAAATTTGTCAAAGTTTCATATAAATCACAAAAACTTTCATTCTTACTATATATCTAATTTCTGTTTATGTGTACACCACTGAGGTATGTAACAAGCTAAAGATAGTTTACATTTTATGTTTGTTGTGTCCATCCCTCACCCCCCTCCATATCCAGCTTTATGCATCATAGGCTTCATAAATTCCTATATGCTAAAATGAAAATAATTTACTGGCGAGGATAAAGCAAAAATTTTGGGGCTCCAGTATGGTTTAGCTACATGTAATCTTGGGGGATTTATATTTAAATTGTGTAGGGGCATTATATTCTTATTATTAATATTATTAAATATTAAGTTTTATTGCCTTGGTCATGCATATTGCAAGTAGGGTACTTCTGCAGTAGCCAGTACCTCATTGATCTTGAATTCAAGAAGAGTATTCAGCAACAAGTTTTAATGATTAGAGTATTGAGCTTTTGTTGTCTTGTTCCTGGCCTTAGCTTAGCAGAACTTTGTAATTCAAATAGGTTTATCAGGGTCTAGGGAGATCTTTTAAGAAAAGTGAAGTACATTCAACTGTGTAAAAAATTTGAAATGGTCTTAAAGGATTTTTAAAGGGGAAAACCAGGAAGTGAAGCATGATCTTGCTGTATAGGTAACAAGATTAAATTCTATGGCAGATTTGAGACGGAACAAGATCAGATCTTAGAGATCAGGAGGAAAGTGAGCACAAGACATTGTCTCCACTGAGTAGGGACAACAGTAGCAGAAGCCCGTGTTTTTTTCCTGAAATGTTATCCATAAATGCTGATTTGGGATTTTTAAAAATGTTTTCTATGATGATAAACAGTTTATTACTTTCTGCAACTGAGAAGAGTAATTTTCATATGTGTCAAACCAGGTATTTTACTTCTTTGAATGGCAGTCTGTTCAGTCTGTCCATAACAGCAGTTATTGTGCTTATAGCGTTAAGAGCTGCATAATTACTTGGAGGTGGATATTAGGACGTACAGAACTTACAGAATGTATGGATTTCAGTGTCCTGCATTGACTTAGCTGAGAGAAGACTTGTGTATGGTTATCTGTGTGGCATGAAAAAAAAAAAAGTTAATCCCTTTACAAAGGGAAACATTTGAAATGCACAAATGAAAAGCTTGGTTGGGAACTGTGTACTAGTTATTTCTGTGCTTGGAGTTACATGTTTGTTCAGAGTTAAATTCCACTGCTCTTCAGACTCTTGGTGAATATAACCAGTGTAAACTTTATTTCTCAGTTTAATTATTTTCCTAGTGCCTATAATGAAGTATGTATATTGGGGAAAACCATGGTTTTGAATTTTATGTGTTGCATTTTTATGCACTATTTGATTATCACATGTAAGTGTTTATTTCTTGGTACCTTCAGAGTAAAGAATTGGAGTAGCATCTCCTGCCTAAGATGGGGCAGTGTTTTAAAACTCTTAACAGGTAGTTATGGGGTGTGTTTTATTAGGTTAGAGAAAGCTTTAAAACCAATTTTTATCTCTCTATATATTTATATTAAAAAAAAGGAGCTCAAAAAAGCTGCTGTCATCATTGGAGACCTAAGCTGTCTTAAAGCCAGATGTGAAATGTTTGTAAGTGCTTGCTTTGTCCACTGATTTGTGTGTGTATTTTACCCTGTTGACCTGTTTTAACTCCTTCAGAAATGATGAGCTATGCCTTCTCTTTACTTTGCATACAATGGACCTGCAGTGTATCCCTTTCTTGCCTTGAAGATCTTGAGTGCTGCTGTGTTAAGTAGTTGTATATTGCGTACTAAATCAGTCTAGTTGCTAAAATTTTACTGGAGCTGGTTGCAAACTTTAGCATCCCCATTATGAGAATGTGATGTTCTACTGACAGAAGTGAGCTGCACCTTATTAACCCTGCAGGGTAAGGGCTAGGGGTGTAACAGAGAGGTTGTGGAGGTTATACTGTGTACGCTTTGATGGGCATGACTTGCAGTGAAAACTTCTGTTTTACTCTGTTGAGTATTACTGTAGCTTGTTAAATAGTTAAAGCACACTTTACTAACAGGAAAAAAACTCCTACTGGCAACTTTTTCTGACTTTTTCTGGACACTCTTTAGTGAAGGTGCCTTTTCCTGTGAGGCCATATGAGTTTGCAGCAAGAACTTTGAGTATATGGTGTAAGCATTGTTTGTAAATTACAGCAGAAGGTTAATTTATTTCAGATTACTGTGTGTTACTGCGGAGAATAGCATTGAAAGTGGTGGTTGGGATGCTTTGATATAATTCTCAGTTCTTTTCATAAATCTTTTAGTTGTTTTTGTTCTGTAACATTTAAATAGGATTTACTGCGTTGGATGAAATAGTTGCATAGGTAGGAGGGATATCAAGATAAATAGTTGCATGGAAATCATAGAATCTGTTGATTCCTCCATTATTTTCCCTTAACCAGGTTGTCTTATATTATGGCTTCTTGGGATTTCAATCTCAAGTGTAATCAGGAAGGAGTAAAATGTGTCCAGCCCAGGATAAAATAAAAACACTAATTCCAGCTCTTCATGAATCTCTTAAACATCCTAAAGAAGCAAAATAGGGCACAAGCCCAATTTTGTTTTGCGTTTCAGGTCTCCTTTAAGAGCAGAGACAACCATGATCCAGCAGTTTTGGAGGTAGAGGCAAGTAAATGTTTTACTTCTTGTAAACATTCCAGTGCATTTTTTCAAATCACCTGTAATTTGAGGAGACCCTGACTGGAAAAGAGTTGCAACCCTCTCTTCCTTAAATGGTGTACTCACTTAGTATGCCTGATGTGAGGAGCTTTTGTTGATTGCTGACAGGTGTCACATCAATGTGTGACATTTCATTGGTGTAAAAATACACAACTTTAATATTAGTAAGGTTTTTGTGATAATGGTTGCTGAATTTTTGTCTTTTGAACCCATCTTCAAAATGTAAATTGAGTTGTTCATCACAGTGATTTTGTTTAAAAGAAAAAACGTGGCTGCTATTTGCTGTCTCCAACTGCTGGTGTTCAAATTGGCTCTTCAGTATTCTCAACAACCTCTTCCGTACTGGATCTAAACCTGTAATTATTTCTATGCTGGGGACATTTCTGAGAGTTCTTGTTGAGTTTCTCCTGAAGGTATGACTTGTGTTCTTAAATCAGTATTTTTGCATTTTTCTGAAGGATGTATTGGAGGCACAGGAAGGAATTATCCATCTGCATTGCTGAAGTTTAAAATATCAGTCAGCCTCTGACTGCTACTAATCATCTGGAAATTTGATGCCTTCAGGTATCTCAGGCTGTAGTTCCGGAGCTGTTCTTACAACAATTGAAGTCAGTACTTGCTGTTCAGTACCATTTGAACAGCCTTGGCTAGGCATATTTCCTCTCTGCCTTGTGACAGATACTGGTGATTTAAATGACTGTGATGACCTGCTTCAGTGCTAAACCAGGTGGAAACTAGAGCTGGAAACCTTTTGATTTTGAGAGCCATGAACTGGATCACAAGCATGTCAAGGTGGGACTAGCATCGCTGACTTAACAATAGCTTAAACTGTTGTGCGATTATGGGCTTTAGGCAAAGTTCAGTTATTGTTCTTGCATTAGTTGAGCTGGATGACTGTGGCTTCTTGACATGTTGTGGAGGTGATGCTTTTTATATCTTCAGATGATAAATGCCGGGTCCCAAGATAATTTTTTAGTCACAAAATATGGTACAGTCTTGAAATACTCATTCTCTCCACCACTGTTGATCTTTTTGCTGGGCTTAATCTTCTTATTTAAAGATGCAGACATTTGAAACATCAGAGTTGTTTAACTGTGAATGGTACTAGATAGGTGCTAAGAAGTGGGAAAGCAAAACTGTGATACTGTACACGTTGGGTTTAGTTCTTTGAAATATCAGAGTTGTTTCTGGGGGGAAGGGCTAGAGGCTTTTTGTGGGTTTGGTGTCTTTTTCCTGTTTGAAAGTAGTGAAGTTAATTTGTGACACATCTGGATGAATTCTTACAATACAGTGCAAAGGTTAAAATGTACTAGTGAATACTTTGAGATGTTTTAATTTTGTTGGCAGCCTACAATTGTAACATGGAGAATAGGTAGCATGCTGATGCTTTTAATCGTTACTGCATTTCTTTGAATGCTTTGTAAAGAACCTTCTTCAAACCTTTTCATTTAGAAAAGTAGTTTTTTTAATTTTTTTTCCTTCCTCTTGCTTATTGTAAATAAAAAGAGGCAATTTAAATTGTTTCATGACGGGTTACATATATTTGGGACAGTTTTTCTCAGTTTCTCTTTTGGGGAGGTGGGGTGGGAATGTGCAATATTAGAGGGTTACAGTGTGGACAAGAAAGAAGCCAGATTTTGGCCAGCTAATACAAGAGTGTAGATCCTGGGATTAAAAAGTTTTGCTAGTTAATAAGCTGTACTAACCCAAACTAATACCTGTGCCAGTTTGAGAAGACAGAGGAGGGAAGAAAGAATGTGGCCAGGTCAGGAAGTGAGAGGTCAGCACCTGTTGGTTGGAGTAAATCTTTGTCGTCTGTTGAAAATGCCTTTTGAACAAAGGGATCATGCTTGTGCTTTTCTGAAGAGTAGGAAACACTTAGGATGAAGGAAGTCACCCTTCTTCCACCCATCTCTCTAGCATGTGAGCAGAGCACGTAATTATTATCCCCAATTCATGCATAATACTGTGTTATTTTCTAAGATGTGATGCATGAAACTACTGTAGAACATAAGAAAGGCATGCATGTAATGACGTTTTTTCCCAGCCTTACCATCTTTGACTTTTGTTACTCAGAAGTTATACTAATTTAAACTGTGGAACTTTTTGCTTTGATTCTTTTTTTCTTGTGGGTAGATAAGTGTTCAATCTCAAACTGTATGTAATGAATATTTTAACAAAACAAGCTTGGAATTTAGCTGCTGAAGAGTAGAAGCAGTTATTCTTTTCTGTAACTCTTCTGATAATGTACTGGAATCTGTTAAAAATTACTCACTTTAAATGTCTTCAGACTTGGTTAACCCAGCAAGTATTTCCTTTGCTTCTGTGGCTTCATAGTGTACTAACATTCTGTTTGGTTCTTTTAATCTGTCCAGTGTGTATTCATTATATTTCTCTCTTTCACTAATATCTTTGTTTAGCCTTGGGACATGACTGTACCTACCTGTGCTTCTCTTTGGGCACTGTGTTGAAAAAGCAGAACTTGAAATTTTGCATAATTAAGTCAGTCTCAATTTTTCATATTATGGTGATTTGCAGTGGAGCTGGATAATTTGGTTAGTTGTGGTTTTTATTCAGTTTGCGCTGTTTTACTCAAAATCTTGCAAGTGAAGATGCCATCAGATTCACTATTTAATGGTACTTTAAAAAAATTACTTTTCATTGGTGAATGATGCTGTACATTTTTCCAAAATCTGTGGGCTTCAAAAAGTTAGTGTGAAACCAGATGTCTTTCTTGAAGTATGGTGTCTCCTAAACAGCAGTTGCAGGACTGCTAATTGAAAGTGATCTTGAAGAATGCATGTCTAGACATTCTGTCCTAAGATTGGTATATGTGTATGCAGAGTAAAAAAATCATGATACCCAACATTGAATTAAAGCTTTCGCTTTCTTCTGTCACTGATTGATGTCACATGAGAGGTAAAGGGGGATACCAAGCCTGAAGCTTTGTCATCTATATACTGTAGGAAAGGTTTCCTTAATACATTATCAGTGATATTCTTGAGCCATTTAATAACTGTTGCCAAACTGGCACTCAGTTACAGAGTCTTTTAACTGGCACAGCTATTACTAAATTTTAATCAGGCCTTGAGAACACATGCTGGATACCCCTTCTTCTGCAGTTGTTCAGAGTTGTTGGGTGAAATCATACAGACTGTAACAGTGGTGACACTTTTGAGTTATCTAGGTGGTAACTTGGGTGTGTCAAATCACATATAATTCTACCAAGGATTTGAGGCAGCTGCTGCAATAAAACAATATAATTACAGACTGTGTACAAGGTTTCAGCCATAAATACATAGAAAGTTTGTCTGCTGAGATCATTTGAGGCAGTAGTTCTGAATTCTTTCAAAGGCTCAACTTAAATTCATTAGCTAATATTTATTGTCAGTTCTCAACTCAGTCCAAACTTGTGTACCTTTCTGTATTCTCTATAACAAAACATTGAAGTAGAAATATGTTTCTTGTGTGTTACTTGTGTCTTGAACTGATGTCTGGGTTATCTGTTCAGAAACACAATTTGTTTTGTAATTGTTGCAACTGAATAAGTATGGATTTCACCTGATAAAATCCATCTGCGGGTCCTGAAGGAGCTGGTGAATGAAGTTGCCAAGCCACTGTCCATCATATTTGAAAAATCATGGCAGTCAGGTGAAGTTCCTGATAACTGGGAAAAGGGAAATATAACCCCCATTTTCAAGAAGGGGAAAATGGATGACCCGGGCAATTACAGACCAGTCAGTCTCACCTCTGTGCCTGGCAAAATCTTGGGGCAGCTTCTCCTGGAAGGCATGCTAAGGCACATGAAAAACAACAAGGTGCTTGGTGACAGCCAGCATGGCTTCACTAAGGGGAAATCCTGCCTCACCAATTTGGTGGCCTTCTATGATGGGGCTACAGAACTGATGGACAGGGGTAGAGCAGTTGATGTCATCTACCTGGACTTGTGCAAAGTGTTCGATACTGTCCCACACGACATCCTTGCCTCTAAATTGGAGAGACATCAGTTTGAGAGGTGGACCACTTGGTGGATAAAGAACTGGCTGGATGGCCACACACAAAGAGTTGTGGTCAGTGGCTCAGTGTCCGGCTGGAGACCAGTTAACAAGTGGTATCCCTCAGGGATCGGTGTTGGGACTGGTCATGTTCAACATCTTTGTTGCTGACATGGACAGTGGGATTGAGTGCACCCTCAGCAAGTTTCACGATGACACCAAGCTGGATACGCTGGAGGAAAGGAATGCCATGCAGAGGGACCTTGACACGCTTGTGAGGTGGGCTGATGCCAACCTCATGAAGTTTAACCATGACAAGTGAAAGGTCCTACACCTGGGTTGGAGCAATCCCAGGCACAGCTACAGGTTGGGCAGAGAGGAGATTCAGAGCAGCCCTGCGGAGAAGAACTTGGGCGTGCTGGTCGATGAGAAAATGAACATGAGCCAGCAGTGTGCGCTTGCAGCCCAGAAAGCCAACTGTATCCTGGGCTGTATCAAAAGGAGTGTAACCAGCAGGTCGAAGGAGGTGATCCTGCCCCTTTATTCTGCTCTTGAGAGACCTCACTTGGAGTATTGTGTGCATTCTGGTGTCCTCAACATAAAAAGGACATGAATCTGTTGGAACAAGTCCAAAGGAGGGCCACAAGAATGATCAGGGGACTGGAGCACCTCCCGTATGGAGATCAGCTGAGAAAGTTGGGGCTGAGCCTGGAGAAGGCTGTGTGGAGACCTCATAGCAGCCTTCCAGTATCTGAATGGGGCCTATAGGAATGCTGGGGAGGGACTCTTCATTAGGAACTGTAGTGACAGGACATGGGGTAATGGGTTCAAAGTTAAACAGGGGAAGTTTAGATTGGATATAAGGAAGAAGTTCTTTACTGTAAGGGTGGTGAGGCACTGGAATGGGTTGCCCAAGGAAGTTGTGAATGCTCCGTCCCTGGCAGTGTTCAAGACC